TTTTATGCAATATATTATTTCAAATAGGAAAACAATCAAAGTTAAAAATAATTTGCAAAGTATTTTTTTTATTTCTGACTTATAATACAAAAGTTTGCTTTTTGTATTATAAGTCAGAAGTTAAAAAAAAAAACTAATATCTAAGTATATAATAAAAAAGAATATGCAAAACATTTCTATAATAATCGTGACATCAGCAATTTATTAGCAGCCGTTTCAATGTAGTTATAACAACTCAGATACAAAAGATAAATAGCTCAAGTTTCGTATAGTTACAAAAAGGGTTGAGAATGGGAACAAAAAATTACTTTATTGAATATAATATATATTAATATAAACTATTTTAAGAGCAAAAAATTGTAAAAACTAAAAATATGTTTGAAAACTATTCACATTTTTCTATCTTGTCATCTAATTAACTTCCACTTAACAAATTCAATCATTTATATTATATTACAAAACCTCAAATATTCATATTAAAACCGTGTAAACATATTAAAAATAATTACTACCGTGTAAATATATTAAAAATAATTAAAAACGTGATATGCTAATCGCAAACCACATTGTCGTCGCTAACTGTTCTACATTAGAATTACAAGCCCCCTCAACTTTTTTGTATATAAAAGTTCAATATTTAAAAATTAATCAGTTATATAAAAACAAAAGGCTATTAAAAAAGTCAGTTATATAAAAACTATAATCAGTTATATAAAAATTTTAATCAGTTGCATAAAAACAATAGGCTAACCAAAGTCTTATTTTTTGGTTGCATTACCGGTTTTTGAATTTAATCTGGTGGTTTTTTGCTTGAATGTAGTTTTTTTTCATTTAATCTGGCGGTTTTTTGCATTTATTCTGGCGGTTTTTTGCATCTAATACGGCGGTTTTTTGTATTCAATCTGGCAGTTTTTTTATTATGATAGTTTTGCTTTTATTACTTCATTTAATTCAACTTCCTCATTTACAGTTTAAGCCCGTTTTTTCTTTAGTTTTTAATACTCTAAAATGAATAACACTCGAAGACAATGCTCAGAAATTAATGTTGAGATTTAATGTGAGAAATTAATGTGAGAAATTTGAACATTAATCTTGTAATTAACGAAGGAAAAAGAGTAAAAGAAGCATTAGAACTCGTACATAGAAGTGAGACTTCAATACGACGCCTGGTCCATCAATATTTATCAACAGGTAATATCAATTCTGGTATTAGAGGTGATTTTTGACAGTCAGGTTGTACTGAGGAAATAAGAAATAAGCTATATGATATAAATAGAGATAACAGAAACTATAATCTACAGGAGATGAAGGAGGAATTGAGAATTGATGTCAACGTTCTACATTATGGCGATGGTTAAAAAAATTGAAATATAAATATAAAATTTTAAGACCCATTAGTGAGAATAGAAACAGAAATATCATTTATATTGATGAAAGTCTGTTCAATCTTCATACGATAAGAAACCACGGATACAGTCTCCGAGAAATGAACCCAAATCAAAGTGTATTGTCATCAAGAAGCCGTAACATAACCTTGATATTAGCATTAAATTGTTTAAAAATAGTCCACAGTGAAGCAATATTTGGCGTAGGGGGTGACAGCAGATATCTTTAAAGGATTCTTAAATAACTTAAAAGTATTTTGGGAGAAGAAGAAGAGTTTACCTTGTTGATAGACAACGTTAAGTTTCATCATTCATTATCAGATTTTTTATGATAGTTATCCTTATGATATTCGTTTTTTACCCCGATACTCACCTTTTCTAAATCCTTGTGAAGAAACATTCTTAAAAATTAAGAATACTACAATAGGACAGATAGCTCCGATCGAAAATAACGATTTATTAGAACAAATGAGAAACGGCTGAACAAAATGAGGAACACTGCGAATCCTCTTTTACACAATGTGTTGATATTATCATTAATGCTATTATTGCTATTATTATTATTGCTTTTATTGTTATTATTATTATTATAATTACTCAATCCTATTGGATTATACTATTTTTTACGCATTTAAATTTATTATTAACTGGAATATATTTTTTATTACTAATCATTTAAGCAAATCATAACATGCATTATAAAATTGATATAAATTTTAAAACCGCCAGATTAAATGCAAAAAATCGCCATATTAAATGCAAAAAATCGCCAGATTAAATGCAAAAAACCACCAGATTCGTGCAAGAAACTGCCAGATTAAATGCAAAAACCGGTAGTAACAAAAAAAAAAGCTTATAAAAAGTGATTTTTACAAACTGCCAAGACTCTCTTTTATCAAATGTTTTCCAATAATGTATACAGAAGCATTTCTTGTACCTTTACCTTTAAGTACTGCCTTCACATTTATAGGTGGTCAAATTAATTTGAATTGCCTTTATGGGCAATATGAGAAAGTTTAATTGTGTCTGATTTTGTGTCTCTTGTGGAAGCAGCACTAAGCGTAAATTTTATGGCAATTTTTTTTTTTCATAACTACTTTTGGCTAATTTTTTTCACAACTTTAGAGATGTAATAACCAGTAAATAACTTGAAATAACCAGAAATTAGTTTGTTCTAATTGGTTTAGTTAGTGGCGTAAAAATATTTATAAGTGATTTAAGTTATTCAAGTCCTGCGTGATCATGACCAAACGACCGTATTGTGTGAACAGCTCATTTATTTAGTAGGGGTGAGCAAAACCGGATATTTGGTCCGGTTTTTAAAAGTAGATTTTGACAAAGTGGATTGGATATCTGGTTTGTTAAAATCTGTAGTTTAAACTTCCAATTATAGGTGAGCAAAACCGGATATTCGGAATAGACTAATTGAAATCACCTCTAGTTAAAACTTCCAAGTTGGAATTTTTAACTAGGGGTGAGCAAAACCTGATATTGGATCCGGTTCATTAAAATCCGAATCCGATTTCATTATTTACTACCTCAGCACCACTTTTATTTTAACTTTACAAAATGCACAGTTTGTAAACGTTCATAATGCTTTTTCATATTGTTAGATAACACAAGAATTTTTCATCGTGACTTATCAAACAAACGTAAAAGTATCAGACAACTTTTGTTTTAAAAAATATCTCTAAATCCATACTCAATATACAGACAGTCGTATAATATTATTAGAAGATTCTACTTCACTAATTTTTTAAAATATATATATTGTATTGAGGTATTTACAACAGTATAACTATTGTCATTTTTATTGTTCACACTGTGAACCATAGTATCCTTTTCACAACTTAAAGACTTGTTGACTGACACTAAACCAAATTACATTTTTTAAAGCAGTTTTTTAAAGAACATTTTACAGCAGAACAATTATGCTTTTGATATATCAAAAACATAGAATCACTCTTAAAAAACATGTCTGCACTTTAGAATAATAGTCAGCACACTCAGATTTTTTTTACTTCAAAATCATTAATGCGCTTAAAAATATTTATCACAGGATAAACTAAATTTTCAAAAAGTAGATTTTTCAGAACATTGATCTTCGTAAAAGAAATTTCACACGTCCGTTAAGAAACGTATAATATAACCGCTGAGTTTTTGTTTTAAACTATAAGTTTCTTCTGCGAGAGAAAAAAACACACACACATAACATAACTTGTATCTTGTTAATGAGAGCGTCAGTTCAGCGAGGTTACTGGCTTAACACACGCAAAATACAAAACATTATAAACAAATTTAAAATAAAACAACCTAAACAACCTAAAAAATTTTTCCATTTATTTTCGTTGTTTTATTATTGTTATTATTATTATTATTTTTACATATGTTATATACTATATTATTTGTGAAATGCTATGAAAACTTATGGAAAACAAAAAAATTTACTTTAATTTTTTTGAAAATGATTTAAAAAAATCTTTATAATTAAAGGGAGCGGATTTGCAAGATTTGCGCTCTCTTTATATGGGTTGTCCTTGTCATAATTCATTACATCCGCCTAATTTTATTTTAATAAAAGACGATGCTTCTGTTTTTGCACCTCTGCTTATAAGTTGTTAGAAATATATTGATATCAAAGCCTACGATTAGAATAAAACGTAGTGTATCATAATTTATTTTCAAAATGTCTTAAAACATTTCAATAAAAAACAGGAGAATAAACTGGAGCCATAATAATTTTTTTAAGAGACGAGTTTAACAAAAAAAAGATTATAACTGTCATTTTAACACGAGAGAACAAAATAGCGCCGAAGAAATCGTAAATGTTAATTCTAATAGTACTTTTTTATCTCTAGCGATTAATTTAGTGCGTAGTTTAATTACTCTAATAAACCAGATCAAAATTCCATTTGTTATTTGAAAACAAAGGTTTTTTGGAATATCAATAAAAGTTAAAATATTAAAAGAATTTAGTCGTATATTTACAAATATTAAAAAAACTAGTTTTAATTTAAAATTATGTCTTAAAATATTTTAAGACATAATTTAATTTTGAAATTTTGATTGGTCAGATTTTTCTCATATTTTGATTGCCAATTGTGAACGCAAACTTTTGCATGCTAAAAAAGTTTGAAAAAAGAACAGCAAATTTTTTAACAACAAAACCGTGGTTTGCAAAATGTTTACATTTTACAGATTTGCAGTTTGTAGTTTGTTGTTCGTTACAAAACACCCTTTTTTAGTTTCTTTATTAATAATTTTAAATGCGCAATCATTAAATGGAGAAAATTAGGAAAAAACATAAATTCATAAAAATTAGGAAAAAAAAAGCTCTAATGTTTTTACGAAATAGTTCAATTATATTAGTATCTAATATTAGTACCTAATTTAATCTTATAGTTGTTATTATTGTTTTAATATATATTGGCAAATGCGCTGTTTGTAAAACATTCCTGCCACACAAGTAATCTTGTAACATTACTTAATATATAAAATAAAAAAAGATGATAAGTTTATAAGCAAATAAAACTATATCATTCACTTTGATTAAGATTTCAATAATACCGCGGACAAAACACAAACTAATCTATAATAGGAATAAGTAAGAATTACTAGTTCCAGTGTTTTCTAAATTCATGATCATTTGAGTCTTTTAATGCTTTCGAATGCGTGAATACTTATGTCTTTAAACTTTTAACTTCTGCTACTAAGAAAATGTATTCCATCGTTTATATGTGTGAGATTACTTAGGTGGTACTTAACATTTGGAGAACAAACCGTACCAACAATGCCAATAAGATCAAATAACATTGACAGTAATTAATTATTGATGAGTTAGTTTAAACTTCTGATTGATTATTTTTTTTATTAGATAAGCAATGAGCAGTCATTTATATGCCAATTCGTTATTAACATACAGCCAATTAAAAAGGTTTGCTAACCCAACAAACAGGAAGCGTTAAACCAACAATAAAAACAGCGTTCTACGAAATAAATTAGGCTGCTCGAATACGACGCGCCAAAAAATAATTTAATTACCAAAACTAGAAGCAATCACAGGACAGTTGTTATCCGTAATCGCTAATTTGTTCATTATTCGGCAACGAACAATATTGTTATTGGTATGTTATCGAGTTGGAATGACCTGTTTTCATATCCGTAAAATAGAATTAAATTTTATTATAAAATAATTAAATTATATTATAAAAAAGTGAGACCCAAATGGTAATCTCAGCGTTAAAAAAGAAAAAAAAAATCAAGTTAAAGGATATTATTATAAAGACAAGTTATTTCTAAACTTTTTAAAACACTTTTAAAATTTCGAATATGTCATTATAATCAGACAATTGAAACTGAGTTCCTATAAAGAAATTTTAATATGACGTCAAACGCAGGATCAAACAAAATAATGTAATTACTTATTTCTCAGCCTGCATTGTTTAGGAACTGATTTTCAAGAAACTATGGTTTGATAGGGGAAAAAAGAGCCAAAAAGAAGCAAACTTAGAAAAAAAATTTATTTGATAACAATTTGTTTAAAAAAAGTTGTTTAAACTTCCAATGCCTTTTTTTAAATCTTGACACAATACAAAAACTTTTATTCTTAATCTTGAATTTTTTAATTGAAAAAAGAAAATAAAAAGTATGATAAATATAGTATAAAAATAAAAACAAAAGCTGATTATTTTTACTTTTTACTTTTACTTTCACTTTCAAAGGTAAATTTGGTTTTATCAAAAATATCGATAATAATTTTATCTATAATATCGCTTCATCAATAATATCTTCTAATATCTACTTTATCAATACGTTTTATGATATTTTTTTACTTTTACTTCAATTTATTAAATTTTTTAAAAAGAAAACGCGCTTAAATTCACAATTAATATTTTTTTTTTTTTAGGTTATTCATTATTAAAGACGAATAAATCCCGAATAAAAATTATTAGGCCAATAAAAAGTGTATTTAAAAAACAGATCTCTTTTTATTTTAGACCACGGAAGAGTATATAAATAAGAAGAAGTTCACACTTTTTCCTTACCAGTGTCGCAAACAATATGGCTAGAGCTGGCATCTACCCAGCCGGCATTTGGTCCTAAAAAGACGTCTTTTGAACGTTTAAAAGACGTTCTGAACGTGATTTTAACGTTCAAAAGACTTTTTTTGGACCAAATACTGTTTTTTTAGGGCCGATATTTGGTCCTAAAAAAAAAGTTTTTTTAGAACCAAATACCGGCTGGGTAGCCAAACCATTATTACACGGGAGAGAAAATTTATGTTGAGCGCGCAAGAATTGACAATTTAAAAAAAATATCGATTAGGCTTTTTTTGTCTCTTCTTCCACATCTAGTTATTTGAAAAAATGATCTCTCTGAGCTTTCATTTTATGAAAATAAACAACGTTAGAAATTCGTAAATGCACTTTACAGTATTGCTCAAGTTAATACAAATTAATAGATAATAATTTATGAACAACTTAGGTTATTTGTTGTCATGACAATAACTTACAGTATATGTAAGAGTTAATTATATTTAGTAAATTACTATAAATTACATTATAGCAATATTATGTAATAAATTAAACAAACATAAAAAAGTTAAACTTTTTTTTGTTAAAATATTGTGTTAATTTGTTTTCTACGTTTTTAAAATCGCTTCCTTCGTTAATTGTCGCTTGGTTTTCCGACATAATCCTTGAGACAATAAACCACTTAAAAACTGCTTGAGAAAATTTATTTCAACAAACAAGTACAGCGAGTTCAAAATTATTAACATTGCTATAATATCCGAAAGCCCATTAAAAAAATTCTATAACGACATGAAAACTTGTGTCATTACGTCATGAAAGCATTAAGGAAGGCGCTTTCATGCTTTTACTCTAAGTACTACGTTTTTTTTAAAGCTCCAATAGGTCTTTAAAAAATTTTGTCATTTACGTCTCTTGTCTATTTTTAGATTTTACTTATGCTTGATAAAGAAGTTTTGATAAAATTTCTGTTTAAAAGTAAACGTTTAAAAAGGCAAACTAATTTATAACTTTACAATATATATATATATATATATATATATATATATATATATATATATATATATATATATATATATATATATATATATATATATATATATATATATATATATATATTTATTTATTTATTTATACGTATAGCATATATACATATAGCATATAAAAATTTGCAGTTGGCATAATACTTTTATGCATAATATATACATTAATAAATACTAAATTATACCCGTATATTCAATTATTTTTTATGTAAATTTTATACACAAATAAATTATATTTGGTTACAATTTATTATATATAATATACACATAAATAAATACTTAATTATAAGCGTATTAAACTATAGGCTGTAGTATTGTATAACTTCGTGTATTCTGTATTCAGTGAGTTAAGACACTAAGTTTCACGTAACACTTAGAACTTGGTAAAAGCATAAACATTTCGACATATGAATCTTTTTATATGTAAAAAACAAATATATATATATACACACACACACACACACACACACACACACACACACACACACACACACACACACACAAACACACATATATTATCTTTTTCACATTACATTATATATACATTTAGATAATATATATTAAATTATATGTACAATTTTTCTCTTCAGAATTGAAAAAAAAAAACTGAATTGAGAAATATGTTTTTGTGTTCTGTTTTGAATAGTATTCTAACAATTAAATATGCATGCAAGAAAAACTGATGCACACTGTGTATCGTTTCATTTTTAAGACAAGCATAGCAGCTTAGTTTTGCACGCTAACATAAAACCACTATAGCATAGCCAATTAATTATCCTTGTTATAATAAGTTAGATTATTCTGCCAACGCATCACCACCACCAAAAGGGAGGGAAATACCCTCTCTTAAACTCTCCACTCATTATACATTCTACAGTAACCTAGTACTACATAATCCTGGATTCACTCCTGTATATGTGTGTCACATCCAAGTATATTTAGAAATTGAACTCTTTTTAAAATAAAAGACAAAACTGATTATATCAGTGTCGTATATTTTCGACTTTTGTTTAGTTTGGTTAAAAAACAACTAAGAAAGTTGTTGTTTTAAGCACTTTTTCTTTTTTATAACTGCTCGTAAATATTTTCAAATCAAAACTTTTTATAAATTAGTTGTTTATAATACTATAAACTTAACTTTCGGTTTCGAAATTCAAATTTATCGACATAAAAATATGAACTTAAAAACTCAACTTACAGAATTAGTATCTCTCATTGCCAAACTTCTTGTACCAAGTCTCCTAACCTCTTTAGGAATCGTTTTAGGTGGCGACTGCATAGATGAATTAAATTTCTTGACAGTTTACTGTTTTAATTACTGTTTGGTATCCTTTTACTATATTTAACTACCGTTTAGTATAGTTTTGCATTTAACTTGATTTTTTTTTTAATATTCGAATTTCTCTAAACTAAATCCAAGTTTTTCATATGTTTTATAAAATTTTTTTAAAATGATGTTGATTGCAAAATAAAGAGATTACGTTAAAAATAAATCTAAGAAAGCAACTACAAACGTTTATTTTACTTTGCATTAAAACGTCGATGATTTATAAAGAATTAAACAACTTTAATCCAAAGAACATAGGCTTTCGTTCAGGCCATTATATTAAAAAAATATCACGCGTCAGCACGCTATTAAAAGTCGAAAAAATATTACATTTGTTCTCTTGTACGCAATTTCTAAAGCAGCTTTGTAATCTGAACTATTTGCAGTAACTCTGTAAACAATAAATAATCTTATTAAAATAACTTTTTTAATAATGACTCGTCTTAAATATGATTACAGAGCACTTCGTATTTGCAACCAATTTTCAAACTAATTACTTATACTAAACTGAACACTAAATAAACATTCCAAAATCGTAATGAAAGAAATTTTTTATTTTTTAAGTTAAAATTAAGTCAAGATGTCTTATCAGATCAATTTAAAATTAATAAAAAAAACAACGTAAAAAACTTGTGTCAAAGATAACATTTATTTAGCGATTATGATATTGTGTTTTTATACCAATAAACAGTAACAATTAAATGATGATTTTTTCAAAGCATTTCCGGTCTGTTATATATATATATATATATATATATATATATATATATATATATATATATATATATATATATATATATATATATATATATATATATATATATTATATATATATATATATATATATGTATAAGTTTTTTACGTTGTTTTTTTTATTAATTTTAAATTGATCTGATATATATATATATATATATATATATATATATATATATATATATATATATATATATATATATATACATATATATATATATATATATATATATATATATATATATATATATACATATATATATATACATATATATATATATACATATATATATATATATATATATATATATATATATATATATATATATATATATATATATATATATATATATATATATATATATATATATATATATATATATATGTATAAGTTTTTTACGTTGTTTTTTTTATTAATTTTAAATTGATCTGATATATATATATATATATATATATATACATATATATATATATATATATATATATATATATATATATATATATATATATATATATATATATATATATATATATATGTATATATATATATATATATATATATATATATATATATACATATATATATATATATATATATATATATATATATATATTATATATATATATATATATATATATATATATATATATATATATATATATATATATATATATATTTAATAGCAGCCGTGGCGCAGAGGTAGCGCAATTGCCTCGGATACTAAGGATCCCTGGTTCAAACCCCACCTCTGAGCAATTTTTGCGACATTGGTTTGGAAGGAGGCTTAAACTTCTGATTAAATGCTCATCCGTGGTGCATCTTAATAATAAAAAAAAAGCTATGTTTGAACGGAGTTTGAACAGAGTTATAAGCCAAAAAACCAATTAAAAATAATGAACTTAAATTTAAAAACAATAAACTTTGTTAAAAAGTG